CTCCTCCTTGCAATGCACAGGCCACAGTCACTGACACAGCTGCTTCACAAAGAATAAATCAAAATCACACAAGCGCCGGATCAAGATGAAAAACTGCGCGCTCGAGCAAAACGACATCTGGTCGGCAGCGCAGTCACTGCAAAGGAGAATGATGTACCATGGCTTGCAAATTAATTTGCAGGATGACATTTTCCTGCCTCTCTTATCTCACAGGAAAGTAAATATGTTTCAATTTTGGTTACAGTAGAACTAATTATTCTGGGGGGAAATTAAAATAAAGGACAAGAGACACTCCTTAGTAGAATCTAGATCAGATGCAATGTGGATTTTCTTGATAAGCTCTTCTGCTTTTCAGGGGTTTGTTGTTTTGTTGTGTTTTTTTAATACTGTTTACTATTCTAGCTTGCTATGCTACTTTCATGCACAGCACCATACAATTTAGAACTGCCAGGTGTTTTGTTCCAATAACAAAAACTATTCAGAAGTGGTAGTATTTTCTAAGGAAATCCATTATGTTATCCAAACTCGTATGTTATGTCTCACCACTACACTTGCCCTTTCCCCTAGTAATAACCAAGTGTATAGAAAACAAATTATGATTGAAGCTGCAGTTCTCTGAAAAGAATTCGCCCAGAATGAGACTCAAATGACTACAGTGGCACTGCTTTCCAACTAAATGTATCCCAGAAGAGAACATCCACTTAGTAAAAGCACAAGTACTGACATGGAGTTTATTCACATTTTTCCTTGGATTCACCTACACATACACACAATACTCACAACAAAGGAAACAGACTTCCTTGCTGGAGGAAAAAACATCAAGAAGAAAACAAAAAAAGAGACAGCAACTGTCTATCAAATGCACTGTAACATCATTTACAGATACAAAAATCACTGAGTAGTTATTTAAAGCAAGTCCTTGCTTCTGCAGTACATCTGTGAAAGAGTATGGGCTCACTTAGATGACCCTGCACTGTGCTTGGCTGTTTCTGGATGCAAAGAACCAGGGGAGGGAACTTGCTCCCCACAAGAGACAAAACAAGACTTTTTCAGTACTACCCCTTTTCTCTGGTTTTGTGTTCCGTTTAAGCTTTGACAGTAAGCAGTGTACAGAACGAGGATAACTACTCTTGTTCATTTTTAAGACAAACACAATGCAATAAACAGAGCTAAATCCAGCAATATACTGACAAACAAAGGTACATGAAAGAATTAGGTAAATAAATGCCCAATACTAAGATCTAATTGCAACAATAGTATCGCAGCAAAGGCTTCTTCTATTATACATCCATATATTCCTTCACAATTTTATCATATATTTTTTAAATTTGATTTTACTTCTGTCTTTTCTTACGGTGATCTTTTAGCAACACCAAAGAATAAACAGTACTTCCAATATACTCTCACTGCAACATAGGCAGGTGGTAGCCCACTTCTGCACTATTATTTCCTCCCTTACAAAAATTGCTGCACATCAGTTTCATCTCCCAGCACTTTGAACAGTTATTCTTGCATCTACAGGAATGTGCCTTTGAGATTTCTCCCAGGCAGCTTCTTGAAATTAAAATCAAACAAGGAAAGCTCTAAAACTAGGTTTACTGTGCCTCCAGTTTGTTTTAATTCATAGGACTTAAAAGGTCTTTCCAAGGGACTGCCTAAGGCTTGCCTTTCACAGACTATCACTTATCAGCAGTGGCTCTTCCAATATCCCCCCTCCCTTTGGGACAGAAGATGGGGCATGGAATTTCCACAGCATTCCTGTAATTCCAATTACACCACTGGTGCACCACTCTCTGCTGCTAAGGTGTACCTTCTTAATTTGTAGTTTTGCTAGAAAAACATTCGCTAGGATACCAAGGAGAAAGCCATACCCCAAGAAGTCAGGAAAACAGCAGCAGGGATCACAGAAACAGAACAGCATCCCCATAGTGATAACCTAAATAGAGATTTTTTTCTTTTTTGCCTCACTGTGCTTCACATCCATAAGAAACTATGGCATCACAGATGGGAACATGTCAAAAGGAGTTTTAGGCATTAATCTATTGCTAGCAAAAATTACTGACCCAGTGTGAAATATTGGTGTTTATCTCTAAGGAAGCCATGAAATGAATCTTCCATGATAACCTGACAACTATGAGAAGAGCATTGTGTATATAAGAACATGGCACACAAAAACCCCTTTCTATCACAGGGAATTTAAAACAAAGATTCTCTGACACCATCCCGAGACAAAAATTATTTCCATATTTCATATCTTATTCTACAAAAAACTCTTAAGAAATGTGGTCACTCCTCCCTACTCACACATTTTCTCCCTGTGGCAGAATAAAGAAACTGTTACAAATAAACACTTCTTTTCAAGTTCTAGGTTTCAGTGCTGCAGTTTTCTAAAGGATAGAAAAGTTCCACAAGCTGTGCTGTGAGTGTTGGAAGAGGCCATCCAATACAGTAAACTCAGCATAATTAGGTTATACACACTGACTGAGTTCTTGTGGTATAACAAATAAACACAGGGTGAGTCAGGTCAAGCCAATACACACACACTGCTTACCCCAGTGACAAACAGCTTCATATCAACACGCTGGGCTGCCCATTCTGTCCACTCCCAAACTGACATCATCTGCACAGCTCGTAAGTAAATGCTACTCCACGTACTAAAGTCTAAATCATGGGTGTCATTGACAAATCCAACCACGACAAGCTAGGATGAAAGCCTACTTCTAACATCTTTCCAAGTGATCCCAAACCCCTATTAAGTGCTCCACAGAACCATTTTTAATAAATTTTGTTCCTGCAATATAGTAATTTAAGGATGATCCCATTTTAAAAAAAAACAAAACACTGCACATATTACACTCAAAAGAACATCCTTCAAAACGTTATACACTTCTATCCCTTGCCTCTCCTATATGCACTAATCTAATTCATCTGTCAAGGAAGCAAACAAATCAGTTTGACACCATTTTCTCTCTGGCAAACTTATGTTGGTTGGCTGTCTTCCCTTATCTCATTATCTCCTGTGTGCTCATAAACTGCATCACAGTTTTTATTATTATCCATGTAGCTGCAGGTAAGTCATTCCACAGCTGGAGAGAAACTCAAAGTGGCCCCATGGAGAGCTCAACCAAATCAAATGTATCAGGCTCGGGTCTGAAAGGAACATAACCACAACCCTAAAACCAAGCTGTTAAGCTCTGCCAGTTCTTGCATGTCCTCAGAACTGGAAGAACAGGATGCATGAAGTGCTAAGGAAATATTTCCTACATAAGTATCTGAACAGCAGATCGGGACTCTAATAAGTCTTCACAGATTCATAAAATAGTCTGCATTCAACAGGCTTCTTGAAACCAACTGCTTTCACTAAGTCAAGAGGGAGACTAACACGAGAGACGAATCTTTCATCTTCTTTTATTCTCCATAAAGTAGTATATATGTCTCAAAAAATCTAAACACAATAGGTTAAAAGAAGCTGGATATTTTCTATTAAAAAAAAAAAAAAAAAAAAAAGGCATGTTTCTGTCAGACCCCCTTGTGGAAAGGTTTGTGTTTTTTGTTAATGAATAAAACATTGGAAACAAAAGCAGCAGCACAGAGCTAGAATGATAGCATTGATGTTGGAGTGCAGGATTTCACATAGAAGGATGTGCTTGGGGGTTTCTGTCTCTCTATATGCTTTTGTTAAATTATAAGTCATACCTCACCCTTGAACACTTGATAACTCTCGGTTTTATATGAAACAAGATAAAGATGGTGAGAATGCATCAGTGACTAAAGCTCTTGATAAGAAGTGGCAGCACTTGCAGTTGTTGAGCTCTACATGCCTCAAAGAGTGATGCCAACTAACATTTCCTTGTCTTTCTCCACTGGGTCACCTCTTCACTTTCAGTGTCTGTGCAGCCTTTTTTCAGCTGGGTTGTTTTTCTTTTTGCTCCAAACGGGTCTGTATGTCAAAGGGTATCCTAGCAAAGCCTGGACATTACTCTTCAGTAGCCACACCACACACACCACCTATGCCTGTAAAGTAAGCTAACAAAGTTTAGATTCCTTTACAGTAAGCCAGACAGATTTAATAGATTTTTAACTCAACTGCTCCTATAGAAATTCACCTCTTTGCTTTAGGAGCACCTCAACAGGCCTACCTCTTCCCTCTCCCCCTCCCACTACCCCATCTGATTTTACCTGCTACATTCATTTTTCATCAGCAAAACCAAGCCTTACTGAATTTAACAGTTATACTATATATAGATATGTATGTTATAAAGCTTTTTTTTACTTCACTAGTTAAAAAGTAATCCACTCACTAGGTGATAAATCTATTTAATCCCTGCCAGCTTTCCAAACCAAATGGAAGTAAACTAGACAATGTTCTAATTGCAAAAGGTAGCCTCTTGTAGGCCATAATATTTGTAGCAGGACTGTGGAGCTCTGGGGAAAAAACATTCAGAGCAAGCAGTCTATACAGTTTGTACAAAGCCAAATAAACTAGAATATAACACTGAAATACAAGTCACTTGAGGCAGAAGTAGAGGTAACATTACCTCTGTGTGCATACAGAATGGACCTTTCCTAGCCTGTCAATTCTACTGGAGATTAGGAGCATTCTTCTCTCAAAGTAAAAATGAGAGACTTGAGAAATTCAGAGAAGAACCAAGCACTACAGTCTCATGTATTATGATCATTCTTACCTTTCTTTTTTTTTCCAACTTATTGATTAAAACCTCCAAGTTTAATGCAGCTTGTCTCTGAGCATGCATCATACCCACACAACTTTCTGTGACCACCCAGCAACGTATTTCCACAGCATCTCCACAGATAAACAGAATCCTAAATTTTGTTTGGGTAGAGCAATTTTAAGCTGACTGTGTTCTGACAGTGCCTGAATTAACTCCCTTTCTGTGACAGGCAAATGAACTGCTTCACATAGAATTTATTGAAGAGTGTGCCAATTACAAATCAAAAGGCAATTTCCACAAAAGCTCTTCAACATTCACATCACTAACCTCTACAGCATTCCTGGGATCAGGGCAAACAGCTTCAAGAGAACAGGGCCCATTCCTTTCCGAGGTTTCTCTTCAACACCAAAGCTGCTCTCTCACTAGGTAAAAGAGAAAAAGGTTAGAATACAAATGTGACAATAAAGTTACAGAGCTCTGCTCTTCTGAAATGAAAGAGGAGTCATTCCTATGACAACTGGACTTTCAGAAACTAAGAAATCTTTTAAATAGCTCTGGGAAAAGGAACTGTAACAAACTAGAAACTGACACACAGCAGTATTTCTCTGATTAAATGATACTCACTGAGAGCACGTGAACTGCTAAAAGAGTTAATAAAAAGTGCAAACCCAGTAATTAATGCACTGACAGCCCGTGATCAGCAAGAGCATCTCTCTGAGGAACCAAGTGATTTCTCATCATTACAGCAGGGGAATAAGAACTAAGCTACATTAACACTAACCCAGCTGAGCAACTGTGAAGCTACTGAACGTGCAGTTTTCTCCACTAGTTCGTCCACCTCTTATTTTCAGAGTTATAAAATATTCATCTTAGAATTTGCAAGCAGACACACACAAGCCAACAAGGGCACCGAGTCTGAGCTCACTTCAGCACAATTCCATGAATCCATCACAAGGTTCTCCAGCTAACCCAGGCAGGTGGTAGAGGCAGTAAATCCAGCAGTGGCCACTGCAGGACCTGGCAAATAACTAGATGAAATGCTGCACCTTGGTTATTAGCCATGAGATGGCAAACCTCTGATTATTTCACCTCTGATTCCCAGTCAGCCCCATTTGGCACTATTAGTACACTGTTCCTACACTCCAGAGCACTACACAGTACAGCTATACCTAAAGCAACTGGAAAAAGTAATACAGTTTATGTCACTTATTGTTTTATTATTTTGTACATTAAAAGGATCAGATAATATTTTGGTGGGGGGAAATCGACTTGGGTAAAAAAAAGCAGTGCAGCATCAGGTAACTTTAAAAGGCTTTGTAAGAGAGATGGCACTAATGTGAAAATCTTGCTCACAGAGAGGCTGCAGAGGTTAAGACAATATAAAATTTTGTTACTATGTTGTTCTATGCTCTAAAATCTTAAGTTACTTGCTGGTAAGTGCAAGTGTTCAGCATTAACAACTAAAGGAGAATTTCTCTCCTAACTCCATCCTCCATGACCGTGAAACCTTCTCCCTCCAGTTCCATCTGTTCATGGGGAAAAATAAGGAGCTACCAGCCAGAATGAAATACCACCTGTGTGCACGGCACGTGAATTGGACCATGGAACTCAGAAGTACCAAAAGTAGGGAGATGATTTTATCTCTGCAGAAGCAAGTAAATATTTAAAGTAAGATGATAAACAAATAGTCCTTTAATCATAGGAACAACATAGGAACATAGTTACTGGAAAAACCTTAAAACAAATAAGGAACTGCAGTTACAGCTATCTTCATTTCACCCTATTAAGAACTTTATTATATAACCAACTTCCTCTCAGGTTCAAAATGAAACATTTTTGTTTTTAAATACAGACAATGAAAGTCTCAGGCTCCAAATCAGATCAGATTGTGATGGCACTAAACTTACTAACACTTACTATATTTGCAAAGCTCAAATGACCAGTTACACTACAAGTACTCAAAACCCACAAGCTTCCTTGAGCAGAAATTAAAGGCTAGTATCAGCATCTTTTCCAGATAAAACTGTAAGAAAGGCCATGAGGAAGTACAACCCTGAAGACAGCTTGCAACCATTTTCATATGTGTTATTTACTTGGTCCTGAACCAAAAGTTTATCTATGGTTTACCTATATTCCCACAGTACATTTGGAATGCCTTGTCTCTTAAGTAGTGATTCTCTTACATTTATCCTACTTCCATATTTTGTCAGGGTCACAATAGCTTGAGAAAGACTTTATCAAATGTATCTGCACAAAGTGAATTGTTTTGAATTGCAGTCTCAAAACCAATAAACACAGGGGAGAAGGAGGTCCTGTTTAAACATTGTTAACAAGAACTAAACGCCTTCTGTGGTGCCAAAAAACTAAAATATTGCTCAAGCTTTAATTCTCCCTGTGGTCATCAGTTAGCAAAAGTGACTTCAAGACCAATAGCACACACCATCTATACTGCAGCAATGAGAAAAAGGAAGATGTTTTCAACCTTGAATATCCCAAAATATCAATATCCTCCAATGAAATGTAACTAAACTAAGTAACAAAATAGGTTAGTTTTGAACCCATCAGTCGCAAAGAGCAAAATTCTGGAAGCACCAAAGACAGCTCAAACTACTCCAGTCTCCTCACACCCCCCAGCCTAGTGAAGGCACAGAAGCCCTTAAAAGAAATGGCAACTACTCTGTCAAAAACCCTGCTGTAATTTCTGAGAAAGGAGAACCAGTTCTGGTCAGTGTCAAGGGGGCAGCATAGTTTAGTCACTTTCCTGCCTTACTGAGTCTCCAGTGTAAAGGAGAAATATCTCTGGGAAGTACACTGACTGGCACATTCAACAAAACCTTTCCTGGAGAAAAGGATCTATGTTTTTCAAACAAGATTCAGATTTAGCTTTCCGAGATTATTTCTTAGGGCATTCACCCTCTCTCCATCCAAACTAGGTTCCTGACTTCCACAGAGACAAAGGATCTCCTGGCAGCATGCAGGCACTATGGTACTCCATGGCTGTGCTGCCTACAGGCTTCCTCACACATCTCTGTCCACTGAAAGGGTGCAGAAAGGAATGTAAGTACACCCCAAACCTCTCCAGACAGGCAGCGCCTTGCCCTCTGGCTAATGGCTTTCCCATTTGCAGATCACACACTATCCAGAGGCTGCTCAAACACACAATGGAAAAGCAGCACAGCGGAGAATCAAACTGCTCATTCTGTATCCGGTGTCTGCTCCCGACCGCTTCAAAAGCGTCTCAAGTGGCCATTACCTCATGAAAAAGTACACCATAAGTAACAAACACAACAGGGAGCTACGGTGGTTCCACCTGCAGTGCAAAACAAGCAGGGTGGCGATTTCTCCTCCCCAGAACACTGCACACACAGGCTGTGTGTGATTCAGCCGACAGCAGCGCAGACGAGCTCTGCGTCACCTCATTTTCATGACCCACCACTGAACCCTGGCAGCAGCCACCTCTATTATTTTCCAGAACCCAAGTGTCATTCAGCAAACAAGTCTCAGCCATCAAAAACACCCCCACCCATGGCTTACATAAAGCTCCCTGCTGCACTGAAGGGCTTTCCTTTGGTTTAAAGAGTTGGAACATATCATTTGCAACTATTTTCTCAAAACGTAATATTAGGGTGGCCAGCTTGAGTGTGACCAATAAAAACCTAAGTGACACTTCATAGGAGTTACCATGAATTTTAACAGACGTCTTCTTTCTCAGACAAGTCCCAATCTACAGGCATTTCTTGAAGAATTTGTTTAGGTAATCTGCATAATTACATAATGTAATTAAAAATATTTTCTCCACCATATGAATAAAAGCTATTTGGCTTTTCTAAATGCAGAGTCCATTGGGTCAACATCTATTTTATAACTAATGCACTCTTGCATTAGAAGTTGATGCCTTTGTATAAACATGTTTTTGTTTCAGCGTCAACTGAACTTGAACTATTTCTTACCCAAACATACTTCTTCAGAACCAACGCTAAAAAGTTTAGATCAAGTTCTAATAATATGTATTTATGACTTGAAGAGCTTCCCTTAGCAGCCATTACTCCTTTGTCCTTGTCATTTAAATAATTTGCTTGCTTGTAACAAACGTTTCCAGACCTGCATCCCACCAGATATTCAACCAGGTGTTTTAGATCTCTTTTTATTTTGCCTCAGTATCTCAGCATTCACTATTTCTAGAGCTCAACAAATCAAATAGAATTTGATTGCTACCCCCACCAGACATCCTACAAAAAAGTGCTAAACAACAAAACCTCAGCAATCACAAACCACTTGGTTCCTGCAAAGAAGAAAACTGATCAAGTAACACCATTAAAATTTGCTTTTATGTACATTTATTTCTGAAAAAGAAATACAAATGTTATGCAGACTTCCATCATAGCTGCTTTCCCCTTATTTATTTCCCAACTACTCCTCTGTAGATAAACTATGTTTATTAACTTTATACTGGTACCATCAGAATATTGAAAAATGAAAGCCTTACAAGAGCATACGGTTTCTTCTGTGCCTACACACACCACAGGTATTCAACAGAAACCTATTCACACCTAACCAGCCATTTTCCTCCCATCTTCCATGTTTTGCAAAGTTACAAAACTCACTCACATGTTACATCAAAGGGGAGTCAAGGAAGACATTACATAAATCTGTTGTTGATAGGAATTAGAGCAGCTGAGTGCTAGCACTTACTCCACATCCGATAGAGATAAAAATCCTGCCTCTGATGGAAAGAAATCAAAGGGATCATAAACATTATGTGATCCAAGTACATTTTCTGCCTTTTTTAGAAGAGATGTGTGCTTAGCATGCATTCTCAACCTCACTGGTTCACTTTCAGATCCACTGCAAGGCATGTGATGTACCAAAGTCTGCCTTTAGCCAGATGAGGCCAGAGGTCAGGACCACAGACCAGCAGGAGCCTGGATTTGAATTCACACTGCCTACTATCATGAGAAAACTTTGGCAACAACATATTTCTGCTGTACATAAGATGTGAGGGAAGAAATACAAATGTGGGCAATATGTTGTCTAAGTACTCCCAGCTGTCTTAACAGTAAGATCAGGATGAAAGAGCCAGATGTTTCCTTCCAACGAAGACATGGCCTTAAAAGCTAACGTAAGGGTCAACCCCATTTGTAAAAAACAAACAAAGATCTTAAACAGGTAAAAACCTTCAGTTTCTGGCTCCCTCCAAAAATCTCTTTTAAAACAAAACTCTCGTACTGTAAAACTGCATGCAGGAACAAGTAAAGAAAGATACCACATCTGTTTCCAGTAAAGCTCACGACTCCAACACCTGGGTACTTTCTTCTCCTCACCAGTAGTCTTGGATTCTTTTGCTTTTTGTTGATATATCCAACTCTCAGCAATTTTGTCATACTTCCAAATGAATGCATACCTCCTAGTGAAGACTCCATTAACCTCAGAAAGGATGAAGGAATGCAATAAGGCACACACTTCACCTTCTCAGAGATCAACCCCAGAGGTTCACAGTAGAGAACAGCAAAAATGGCACACCCAAGTCTACAGACACTTATCACAACAGACTGCTTAAAAATGTTCACTATTATTCCATCTATCTACAAATTAGAATATTGTTGAACACCCGTAACTCAGTGTTCTTGCTGTCCCCAAGACCCAGTGTAACACAGCTTGGAAACACTAGGAAGACAATACCACTGGTGAGCACAAAGGAAACACCACCACAGCTTAAGTACAACCTTCTGGAGGGGAATATATAATCCCAACAATTAATCATGTTTAGACAGGTAAAAATTAATTAGGTGGGAAAAAAATGAAGATACCTCACTCTGTGCAACCACGTGCCAAGTTCTAAGCCAACCTTCAAAACACCTTCACACTCGAGAGCAAAGGGAAGGACCCTCACAAAAGGGGTCTTAATGACAGACTATTACAGCTACCCTACTATATACAACTCTTAAATGTTGCCCTTCTTCACTGAAATTGTCCAAGAGCCAAATACAAGCAACAGAAACCCTTGATAGATCTCTTGGGCACCATGAACTCTGTATCTGTCAAAAAGTTCCTCCTTACCCTAAAAAAATTCTGGTGTTGCCTTTCAGCCAGGTTCTTCTCAATACAGCAAAGCCTGAGAAGATTTAGATGCAAATGGCCAACCAGATACAATAAAAGGAGACATCACCCTCAAGAAACTGCTTGAGCTGCAGCTGCATTCACATCTCCTCCAGAAGCATCCTCTACACAGAGAGGCAGAAAGCAAAACGAAAACTTCAACAATCTGGCACTGGGTACAATTTAAACTTTTTTTAAAGCGAGTCAATGAAAGTCAAGGAAGTAAATCCCATCTCATTTATTGTGGGCAAGCTCTGTTGGACAGCCCAAATCTTGCTTCAGTGTAACTGCAGTCATTTGGAAGTCAGGAAGACTTAATGCAACACCTGATTTCTATGCCACTGGAAAGAAAAATGTTCCATAAACTGCATTTATGTTAAGTCAAAGCCAAAATTAATCTGAAAAAGGAACAAGAAAATTGTCATACACGCCTCATGTTACTTCACCTTTTAATTACTCCCTAATTAAATTTGCATGCTTTGATAATATCTACTATTATAAGCTGATGCTCCAAATGGAAATAAATGCTAATTCCCTCTGCAAATGAACCATCAAAACCACGTACATTTAAATAGATTAGTAAAATTTATTTCAAGTTGTCTTCAGAATGCTCTCACCTACTGTACTCAAAAAGTCTTTGCCAAGGATACATTAATTCAGTCACCCATAAACAGTCTTCAGCTCTTAACAGCTAAGAAAAGTGCTTCTTGTAGAAATAAATCACAATGTGTCAGTGCTAAACTCCAGATGCTCCCTCCATAGACATACTGAACTGACTTCAGGTCACCTGTGACATAAAATTTCATTAATTATATTGCTTGGTAAGAAGCATGGTCTTTCTTACATAGAGGTTTTCAAATTAAGCAACTGGGTCTTAACGTTATAGTACTATGATCTCTGTCACTGAAATACTGGATGTTGTTTATATGTAAGTATGATACAGGATGGAAGACTTCTGGGAAGCTCAGTGTGGTCCAACCTCTGCTCAGCACAGGGGCAGCTTAAATCAGTTGCTCATGTGAGCTCTGAGCATCTCCAAGAGTAGAAATCCCATTGTCACTTTGAGAAACCAACTGTGCTGTTTATCTTCATGGTATAAATTTCCACCCTACTTGCAATTGGCCTTGTGCTGCTCGTGTCCGATGCCTCTCATCTTATCCCTGTGCATCTCTGAGAAGATAAAGATACCAAAATTTCTACAGTGATCATCTCTTCTGAATTACAGGTTAGTGACCATAGAGATACTTTATAAGTAGATCAGATATTCGAGGACAGGGTCCTTAAT